GGAATCAACCTTAGGACCTTTCACTTGCCAGGCAGGCGCTGCATCACTCAGCTACATCTCTGCTCCCCGACCCTCCAGAGATTTCAAATAAGCCAATCTGGAGTAAAAGTCCTGAAAAGCTACATAGGAACTTAATACCATATGCAAAAAAAGAATATGGCATTACATGTAACAGAAATAATTACTGAAGAATTTTAGGAAAAAATAAGTACTTCCATTGGGATAAAAAAAGTGACTGGAAGTCATCACATGGTGATTCTGGTTCCTTTATATTCCTCTCTTTTTTTTAGTACTGGGGATTGAAATAGGGCCTTTGCTCTGAGATTACAATCCCCTTTTTAAAATTTTGAGTCTGGATCTTGCTAAGTCACTAAATCAACCTAGCTGGCTTTGAACTTGAGATCTTCCTGCCTTAACCTGTCAGAGTGCTGGGAATACAGACTTGTGCTACATACTTGGCTCTGTTTGCTAATTTTATAAGAAAGAAAGCAGGTCCAAAGATGTTAATTCACCCAAGTTTATTACTCAAACCATATTCTATGGATAAAAAGCAAGCAATTGAATCAAGCACAGTGGTGTGCACCTATAATTCCAGTACTCTGGGAAGCTGAGACAGGAGGATTCCAAGTTCAAACCCAGCCTAGGCAACTTATCAACTTAGAAAAACCTTGTCTTAAAATAAATAATAAAAATTAGGGTTGGGGATGTAGCTCAGTAAGAAGGCTCTGAGGTTCAATCCAGACATACACACACGCAGACACATACACACTATAATAAAAACCAAAGAAGGATTTGGCTTTATACTAAAAAATAGTATTCCTTTAAAAGAGTATTTTGGCAATTTCCACTGAAGTGTTTGATAGTTATGTCAATATAAAATACTTGTTCTTTTCACTAAGGGCCTTTTTTTTGTCTTTTTGAGACAGGGTCACACTATTCAGTTCAGGCTGGCATTGAGCTCACTTTGTAGCCTAGGTTAGTCTCGAACTTGCAACGATCCTCCTGCCTCAGCCTCCCAAGTGCTGGGATTACAGGCATGCGCCACCATGCCCGACTTACTGAGGGCCTTTTAACTGGAATTAGAAAGTGAAAACCTAGTCCAATGGTTCTCAAATGCGGCAGTACCTTAGAATCCCCAGAAATATCTTCTGGATCCATTTCCCATTTAATTCAGATTCAGATTTTATTAAAAGTTTTTTTTTTTTTAATCACCTTCAAGGATTTGGAGACAATGACATTTTGTCCACATGACAATGAGCTGCTGCCTTTCCCGTGTGACAGTATCTCTGGGGCAAATGTGTGCTGTTCATTTGTGAGCTCAGTGGGTACTTGTGAAGTACCTCAGTGTGCCAGGAATGGTGCTCAAGGCAAAGACACAGTCCCTGCCCTTGAGGACTTGCTGAACAGCAGAGAGACTTGTACAGAAGCAAGTGGACCTGGTCATGGTGGTGCATGCCCGTGATCCCAGCATCGGGAAGGCTGAGACAGGAGGAGTGAAAGTTTCAGCCTAGCCTCCTCCCTCCCTCCCTCCCTCCCTCCCTTCCCTCTTTCTCTCTCTCTCTTTCTCTCCTATTAAAAGTTATATAGGTGTTTCTAATGTGCTGCCAATGTCGAGAAGCACGATTCTAGATAAGCTGTTTAGCAGAAAGACCTACTTTGAATAGAAAATTTAAAAACAAATCAGACAGAAATGACCATTACTTCTAAGACTGAAAACCCAACCTGAACCTCAGTGTGTGGAAGGCATTTATCAAGTCTGCATACTTGAATTCCACTCTTCTAGTCCTTTGAACCAAGTAATTTAACTGATGAGAAACTTACTCCTATCTCTGTCACTTCCTTTAAAGACTTATGTTGGGGCTGGGGATTTAGCTCAGCGGCAAAAGCACCTGCCTGGCAAGTGCAAGGTCATGAGTTCAGTTCCCGGTACCAGAGAAAAACCAAAAATAAAAAATAAAAAAAATAAAAAAAATAAAGACTTAGGTTGCACTTCTAAAAAGACAAATTAGTTTATTCCTACTTTGAAGTTATCAATAATTAAGAAAGGTTAAAAAAAGAAAGACATGTTATTTTAAGAACTAATGAAGCATATTCTGTGAACATTACACTATAGCCAAAAAAAGGAAAAAGTCCAAAGAATGAAGTGACAGATTTATTCTAGGTTAAGAAAAAAAAAAAAGTGAATTGTTGTTACAACCATTGAGCTCCTTTGTGTTTAACTGCATAACAACTGAAATTAAGCATACTTTAAAAATACTGTTTCACACTAATTGAGTAAGTATTTGAGCTTATATTTAGGCAGTTTCTGGAGTTATTTTCTATAAGGATTCAATCAAAAGCATTACTACTGATACACTGCTCCACTTGATTGTCTTTTCTCAGGAAATTTATTGTTCAGAGAATTAAAGCTACTAGTTACATCCTTCCCTATTATACAATTCAAGGTAGACTTGAGGCTTCTGGGCATTAGAAAACTCTTTAATAGCTTGTGCATACTAGCACAGCCTAGCCAATGTAGGATACATGCGTTGGAATTAAAGGCTCGTCTATATCATCTTTGATCTGACATTTATTATTTTGACAGTTATGAAAAATACTCTTGAAGGTTTTATATTTATCTTGACTTTTCTCCACATCACTATTTGCCTATGCTGATGTGCGGAAGAGAATTCAGATAATAAAATCAAATTCCATTGTTTCTAGGCCAGAGTTTCAATAAAACTTTCCTTAGAAATCAGTGCTGTGCTATATAATTAACCCAGTTTCACAAAGTAAAATAAGCCTGTTTTTTAAAAGTACATAAACTGAAGATTGAGAATAATGGAAGACAGTTGTTTAACTCATGTAGAATAAATACTTTTAATGTTTCTTAAAGCACTTGAATGTTTGTCACATATTACTCTTAGAACGTTTGGAACACCACAAACAGAATGGTATTGCAGTAGAAAAAAGACTAACCTATAATATACCACAACCATAAGAACAAGGAATGAGTAATCTTATGGAAGTTAGAAAAGGTAATTTATAGCTCTGTACCTAAGAACTAAAATTCTAAAAGACTGGAATTTGGTTAAGAAAAACTACAATGTAAGCCAAGTTACTATAAAAATCCAAGAAGATGATATTGTAAATTATGTAAAAATTACTAAGGATCAGTATCCTTCTGTCAGAAGAGAATGTCACAGCTTTCCAATGTATACTCAAAGTTTTGAAGAAATTAAATAATATTCACATCTAGCTTGAATAATAATCAAAAACCTATTAAGCAGAGCTCTGGGAATGATGATATTCAATTGTAAATTTTAGTTCAGAACAAGTCATAATTAATTACAAGGGTATAAAATCTTAATTATATTTTCAATATGTATGTATACATGTATGTATTAAAACAGGAATCCCAGCCTGGTCTCAAACTTGCTATGTAGCCAAAGCTAGCCCCAAACTCCAGTGTGTCAGTCTCCCAGGTGTTGGGATTACAGGTGTGCTGCACCACACCCAGGTATTTATTTTTGTGGTGCAGAGAATCAAACTAAAATGGCTTTTTTTTGTGTGTGTGTGTGGTGCTGGGACTTGAACTCACGGTTTTGGACATATATATTTTAAAAATATATTGATAATGGTGAACATTTTCTCCTTCAAGCAATATATTCTTCTTTCAAAATCTGATAATTCACATTAAAATTCAGGAAATTTATAGAAAAACTCTACCTTTCTGCTAATATTGAAAGCACTTACTGATCAATAATCAATTAAATAATTCTAATAGTTACAATAACATTTTTATCTACAAATAAAAGACAAAGCTCTCTAACTTATTAGGCCACAAATGCCTTATTAAATAGTAATTTCTAATTACAATTTAAAATTCTAAATGCAACTTAACATTTTTTTTCAGTATTGTTTTATACTTATGCAATCAAATAAGGAAATACTATATAACTGGAGACCTAAATACATTTTTAAATTTTCTAGTGTAATAAATTCCAGCAAAAGTAAAAATTCTGTTCATTCTAACAAAATTATTTCCCACTATATCATTTATTTATTTATTTATTTATTTATTTATTTATTTATTTATGTTTGGCTTTCTGAGACAGGGTCTCACTATGATGCCTAGGTTGGCCTCAGACTTTTTGTGATCCTCTTGCCTCGACATCCTGAAATAAACCAAATTCTAGGCACAAAAGTGTCCCACATTCTCCATTTGCCTTTTGGTCATTAATGATGGGCCACCATTGCCAAATCAGAAATGATTACTTTTCAACTGTATGATCATTAATGAGAAAACACAAAGTAAACATACATGACCCTAAGCTTGATACAATGGTAAACTATACAATGTAATATGCTACTTTAATGTAACTGAGACTATGAATTTAAAGTATATTTTTCTGTAGATGGAAGATAATATGCTATGGTAAACAAACCAAGGAAGTGGGAAAAAAATCTGCTTCACGACTTCTGGGTTAACTGGTTTCTTTGTTTTTTTTTTTTGTACTGGGAATCAAACTCAGGACCTTGAGCTTGCCAGGCAGGTGCTTGTGCTGCTGAGCTATATCCCTGGCCTGATAACTGGTTTCTTAATTCAAAATGACTGTTCAGAGTGTAGCACCATAACATGCCATACTTTACATTAGAATGATGTGATATGAAAATCAAAATGAAAAGTACCATCAAAAAACTATTTTATAAAAAGAAGTAAACACCAGCGGATACTTATGTTTTTAAATTCTAGTATTATTTATTAGGAGACTATCTCACCATGAATAAAGTTATTTTCAACATTAGAAATCTACAAGTCATGTATATATAATATGAAATTCCACTTTACACAATGTGTTTTAAATATTGTCTACATGCAATTAAATAATAAGCATGGCATTGGAACCACAGGTTCTGGGTAAGTAATGAATACTTCTTCAAGACAGAGGCTCAATATTACAAGAAAGTGCTCAGCGACCCCCCACCCACACCCCAGGCACACTTAGGGTCAGGCTAACCTGGTTCTGAGTCACTGCTGTCAGAGGAGCTGGAATCACTGCTGCTACTTTCAGACCCTGAGGAGCTGCTGCTGCTGCTACTACGGCTGCTGCTGCTGCTGCTGCTGCTACTACTGCTGCTGCTGCTGCTGCTGCTGCTCTCACTCAGACGGGATCCAATTCCAACGGCTGTGGATGACGGTGGCTTCTCAGCTACTAAATAGAAAAACACATTAAAATGCTAACAGAAACAAAAAAACAACAGAACCAAATAGTTGCAAAAGCATTTAAAAACTGCCACCTACACTTTGTTTGACGTTTTCCATAATTTAATTGATTGTTGACCTCCAGTAACCGCTTTTCCAGCTCTTGTTTCTTCTGGGACTGAATTTCTTCTTTGGACTTCAGTACTTTCTTATCTGTGTGATTTAGGAGTTGAAAAAAGTGAGCATAACTGAAAATTAACACGAATCACACTGAACATTTATTACTCTGCAGAAACACATACCATGGGGTTTTAATGGTCTTTTTCTTAAACATGCCGCAACGTATTTTTCTAGTTCTCTTAGTGTTGATGGTTTTAGTGTTTCGAAGTCTATCTCCACCTCGTCGGGATTGGAACTTTGCAGTGAGGGCTCTCTTGATTGTATTATATGAACTACTCGGCCCAGTTTATCTCCAGGGAGTTTGTTTATATCCAAACTCAACTGCCTTTTCTCATCATAGTTCATAGGCTTGATATTATCTTCATCTTCAGATTTAGGAGTAAAGACCTCTTGTTTCCTCTTCTTTGGTTGACTGTAATAAAATTACCTTAAGTTAAATTTCATTTGTTTTTTGGGTGGTAGGCAAGCAAAACAGGACCCACTCTACCACTGAGCTACAATCCCTGTAAATTTATTTTAAATAATGTTACTTCTTTATATAAGCCATCTTAAAAATACTTACTTGCTGTTGGACTTTTCCTTTACTTGAAAATTTTTCTTTGGCTTTTCATCTCTGTTATTAATATTTTCTCTGTTTTTCCTTCTTTTAGACTTTTCATTTTTTTTCTTTAACTTACGGAAAGGAACTTGGGACAAAGCCTGTAGTTGTTGATGAACAGCTTTAAGCTAATAAAGAAAAAAAAAATCTTTAAACATTTATGGCTCTAAATAATCAGAAATACTAGAAAAAAATTTAAAGCACTCCAAAGTGTTTCTTGTGAAATTCATTTCATATATTTTCTTTAGGTGTTTTTTCACTTCAGAAATTCATTGTTTTGAAGAGTTTACATTAAACTTCAAACACTATAACATGTTTATCCTATAAATTTAAACATTCATCAAAAGCAGACCAAGAAGGCTAGGAGTATACAGTTCAATGATAGAGAGCTACCCAGCAAATATGAGGGTCTTAGCTTCATTCCTAGTGCTGCAAAAATAAATAGGAAAGATAAACAAAAACAGACCAAGAATAATTTGCATTTCCAAGCCATCTTAAACAGTTTAATCATTAAATTTTCAGGCCTGAACTCAGACAGGTTAATATTTTATCACAAAAATAGCAATTAAAATAAGATCTCATCTGCTAGGCATAGTGGTGCATGCCTGTAATCCCAGCACTTGGGAGGCTGAGGCAGGAGGATTGTTCCAAGTTCAAGACCAGCCTGGGCTACAAAGTGAGCTCAAGGCCAACCTGAACTGCATAGTGAGACCCTGTCTCAAAAAGACCAAAAAAAAAAAAAAAAAAAAAAAAAAGATCTCATCCATAACATGCCTCAGATTATGTCATAAATCCTTTCAGTTAAAATCAATTACTCACTGTGACTAGGAATATACACAACAGAATTATATTTATGGAAATTTGAGTAAGAAAGACTATTAAACATGGCAAAATATGAAATAAGGTTGTATTTGCTAAGTTGTCTAAATATAGTAGTCTTAAATCTATGAGAAGGAAGGTGGGGATGTAGCTCAGTGTTATAGCATTTGTTGAGCATGTGCAAAGCCATGGGTTTGATCTACACTATTATACACACACACAAAAAGTTTGGTATAAGGGCACACAATTGTAATCCTACCTACTTAGGAGACAAGGCAGGAGGTGTGAAAGTTCAAGACCAGCTTGAGTAACAGAGAGAGATCCTGTCTCAAAATAAAAAACATAAAAGGGCTGTGGATGTAGCTCAGTACTCCCTATGTTTAATCCCCCATACCAACCAACAAACGAAAAGTCTATAAGAATTTTATAATACATCAGCTTGTAGAAATAAGACCAAAATCTGTACTGATAACAATCAACTACCTGCTCCTGAAGCTTTGTAAGATGCTTAACTTGTTCATCTTCAGAATCATCAGAAGAGTTATCTTCAGAGGAAGCTTCACTACTGCTTTCTTTACTAATGGTTTTTGTAGTGCCTGTTGTGATATTACATACAGGAGTGCTCTCAATAGGCTCATCAGGAATTTTGGCAAAATTCACTTCAAAAACATCCTATGATGGAAAATTAGACTGTTAAAGTATTCTGCATTTTTGATTAATGCAGCAGTAACATCTTTTCACAAAGAAGTTCATCATCATAATTTGACCAGAATTTTGAAAAGACAAAAGTTTGGCAACTTTTCTCCATTTTTCCAAACAAGACTGTCCTAGATTATAAAAGGGATCTTCTTTCAAAAATCCTATAGTCGGTGCATCATTCTACCTTCCATTGGCTCAGATTTTCATGCCCTTGGACCTTCTTTTGAGTGGGACTTTCTCTTATCAACCCCACCTCAGATATTAACAGCCCTCTCTTTACACTATTCCTAATTTCTTCTGTATCATAAGTAGCTTCATTAAATGATTTGCTACTAATGGATAAAATAATTCAAAAGACAAACCCACAGAGCTTTAAAAGTATAGTTTATAAATTGTTCTGTATTATTTAGAAGTGTATTATTCTTCCTCTCTTAAATGATAGTTCTAAAAATTTTCAACTTTTTCAGAGAAAAAGTACATTTTTCCTTAAGTTTTTCATACATTTTCATATGCATAAGTTTTTCATATGTTTTTGTAAGTTAAGCATAGGGAAAACTCACCTGAAGCATTCTAGCCATAGCCACTACTTCATTATCTGGAGAATTGTATTTGTAGCAATTCATGAACATTAATCTAACATCTGCAGCAAATTCATATGCATCCTTATATTCTCGGTTGTCCATTTTCTTCTAAATTAAGGAAAAATTTACAGGATTCACACACAATATAGTTTAAGTTGACAACTAAGCATTCCTCGTTAAAGCATTTATATTATGAAAAGATTCAGAAATACAGGAAAATGCAGAAAACAAAAATAGTTACCTACTATATTTGACAAATGTTAAAATTATATTGTTTCACATTTTTTAGGTTGAGAAAAATCCAATAAGTTTTGACAAGAATAGATAAAGAAAGAATGCTTTCCAAGCAAAGAAAAGGATAGAAATAAAACCAGAAAGGCAGGAAAACAGTGTCATCAGATGGTCTTGACTAGACAAGTTTGATATTAAGAAAGCAATAAAAAATAATCTCCTTAAACCAACTGTGATCATCTGAATGAAAATTTATATTAAAATATGCTGAGAATGTAAAGATATTAAAAATAGAAGATTAATATGAGTATGGATTATGTTTTTAATGTGGTTGCACATAAGATAGAAGGGTGGGAGGTGGCATAGCTAATTAAGCAGCCATTACAGGAAGAAAAACTAGCAAGAAAATCCTATAGACTATTGGGAAAAACGTGTACATTAATGGCCAATTCACAAATATGAAAGGCCAATAAACAAATGCAATACACTAGTCCTCACTAGAAAGTAAGGAAATACAAACTGAAACATGAAACAATCTTCTACCAATCAGACCACTGGCAATTGAGGGACTCCAGAGAGTAGATTAAAGTCTCTGTCTTCTAGCTATTGGAATCCTGCAATAGCCTCCTAACCAGTGTGTAAACTGATGCTAGAGAAAACACTATAAAAATCAAATATAAGGATATAATTTTCTTTTCAGCACCTGCTGGCTTTTTTCCATTAGTCTTTCTTAAGACACAAATTTCCTTCTAGTCTCATCTTTGCCCGGGTTTCCTTCATAGTTCTCATGCATTTCTGAATGTTTCCTTCATCTCATGACTATTCTGTAAATTGTCTCCCCTGCCTAGAATATTCCGTAACTTATCAAACTCCTATTTATCTTGTAAGATTTGGTTCAGGTTTACTTAAATCAGATAATGCTTCATGACCTCTGAGTCCGAGTTAGTACACAACGAAAATTAGGAAAGTACTATTTTGAAGACGTAGTGGTTAAACATATTTTCAGAACTTAAAGACATAGTCTCAACACTGAAAGTGATAAGTTCTAGTTAAGATGAATAAAATCAAACGTACAACTAGAGAGAAAGGAAAGACAGGTTATCTGTGAGGAGATAACAGACAAACCAACAGCGGTTAACAGGAGTAGATGCTAGAAAGTCTTCCAAGTGGTGAGGGAAAATGATTGCCACTTTAGAATTATCTAGTAATCACTCGAGAATCTGGGCAAATAATCACTTGAGATAAAGGGCATAATATAGATATTATCAGGCACAGTGGCACATGCTGGTAATCCTAGCTACTCAATGCTGAGGTAGGAGGATCACAAGTTTGAGGCAGCCTGGGCAACTCAGTCATATCCTGTCTCAAAATGAAACTTTTTAAAAAAGGGCTGGGGATATAGTCCCATGTAGAGACCTTGCCTAACATATAAAAGTCTCTAGGTTCAACCTGTAGTACTGAAAAAAATGTAAAACTCGATTCTGACATGTTAATAATAAACATTATGCTGCTGACTAAAACAAGAAATAAAATTAAGTTTAAAAGAAAAATCAAACATCTAGACAAAAATAAAGAATAGAGAATATGGTGAGTAGCTGTTTGGGAGGAGGACTGAGATACTGAATAATTCTGAAGATGCTATATAGTTCTATCCTTTTAAATAGTTACCCATAAAATTAATATATATAACATACTGTAGATAAAATTTTACAAAGATTTAAAGCTTCCAGGTAGGCATGGTGACACATACCTGTAATCCCAGCACTCAGAAAGCTGAGGCAGGAGGATCACTGCAAGTGCAGGGCTACCTTAGGCTACACAGTGAATTCAAGGCCAGCCTGAACTACATAGTGAAACCCTGTCTCAAAATAACAACAATCAAAACAAAACAAACAAAAAATCCCCTTCCAAATCAGCAGTTAAGGAAGTTTATCAATGCATGAGAAGATATCCTCCCAAAAAATGAACAGGAAGAGTCATAAACTGCATAAATGTCCTACCAAAAATAAAAGGTTAAAAAACCCCTGGAATCATGCACCTATTAAAAAATATTTCTAAAGAAGATGGGCATGGTACTACATGCCTGTAATACTGGCTACTTGAGAGACTGAGGCAGGAGGATCACAAGTTTGAGGCTAGCCTGGGCAACTTAGTGAGATCCTATCTCAAAATAAAAATTACAAAATGTGCCGGGGGTGCAGTTCACTAACAGGGTCCTGTGTTCAATCTCAGTGCAAAAAACAAAAAACAATCTTGAAGAATGTGAAATAAGAAAATGTCCATTATATAAGAATGAAGATTATATTACATACTATACCCCCAAATATTATGGTAAAAGAGAAAGGATGAGTTCATGAGAATCACTGTTCCAGTGATTTGCTTCAGGTGATATGTTCTAGTGATTCAAATTTTCTTCATCTTCTGGGTTTTGCAATGATACAATTTCTTTCTTTCTTTCTCTTTCTGAGACAAATTCTAGCTATGTTGCCCAGGCAGGTATCAAACTCCTGGGCTCAAAGATCCTCCCGTCTCAGCCTCTAGAGAAGCTAGGATTATAGGTATGTACCACCATGTCCAGCTGGATGAATTATTTTTATATCAAGAAAAGAAGTGAGCTGGGCAGGATGGTGCAAACCTGAAATCCCAACATTCGGGAGGCTGAAGCAGAGGCTTGAGAGTTTGAGGCCAGCCTGGGCTACATACTAAGGGCCTATCTCTAAAAATACAAAACAAAACAAAACAAAATTACCAAGAAAAAGAAAAGAAGCTCTTCCTATTAAGGCAATACTTACCTTAATTGTTCCAAGATCCATTGGGTTTTTGATAATGTCATAGTAGTTATATAGTCCCAAAGCATTAACATCAACAGGGTTGTAAAAGGGCCATGCGTATGAAAAATGTTTCTTGGAAAGCATTTCCTTGAGAATTTCATTACAGTGCTTTAGTTGTTCTGTTACTTTAATCTTTCCAACTTTACAATGTTGTTGAGAATCTGGAAAAACATTTTTCAGCCCATTTTCTTTCACTGGTGGCATTCTGGCTGGTTTTTTTTCCATAGGTGGTGTAGAAGATTCATTATTTGCTTTAACTACAGAAGTTGTAGGAGTTGTTGTATCTGCTTTTCTCTTCACACCCCTGGTAGCCTAAAGTGAAACAATTCAACAATAAAAAGCTATATACTTCAACAAAAGCTATACTTCAGGAGATATTCATCCGATTAAGGAAAATGGAGGAGGCTGGGTGTGGTGGTGCACGCCTGTGATCCCAGCACTCTGGAGGCTGAGGAAGGAGGAACACTATGAATTCAAGGCCACCCTAAACTATAAAACAAGACCCTGTCTCAAAAATCAAAGCAAAAGATAAGTAGAAGGAAAAAGACATTGTAGGTAAGTATACATCTTGTTGTCAATTCATGTATTAAATCTTAAAGGTTAATTTCCCTTTCATAGGCAAAATAAATAGCTCTAATAATTTCTTCCCACATTCCAAAAAATTATCTTGTACAAATTCTTAAGACAATAAAAAACAGAAAATCAAAAGGTTTCTGAACATCTGAAATAAACTGGGGTATACATTTTAAAAATAAACCTATGTAAGTGGACAACTTTTGATCTTAATACTATCAAAAAACTAAAAAAGTTTAAATTCTATCAAAGAAATATCTAAAATTTAGTTAGCACTCTAGGTCTCTTCACAAAATGCACAAAGGCAGAAATAATATGACAAAATTCTTGTATGCTGAAGATGAATTTTCATATCAGCTTAAATGAAAGTAGAAGCCAGGCACAGTGGCTTGTATTGTAAATCCCAGTATTCTGGGACGCTGAGGCAGGAGGATTGCAATTTTGAGCCCAGACTGGGCCATTTGTTGACTTAGTGAGGCACTGTTTTAAAAAAGAGGCCTGTACCTCTCCCCCACCAAACAAAACAAAAACAAAAAAACCCAAAAGAAAGCATCATCATCCTGGGTTACATGGAAAATATTTTAAGAACTAATGATTTAAAAATTGTATTAAACTTACTTGGACCACAGTTTGTGAGCTAGAGGGGAGTAGAGCTCCTTGTGCCACGTTTAAGGGAAAGATGGACATCTCAGGAAGTACAGGGGGCATTTCTTCCTGCTTAAATACAATCTCTGTTGCTTTGGGGGATGTTTTTTCTTTAACAGAAGAAACTGATACATTCTGTTGAGTGCCTAGAGAAACGTGAACAAAGTCAAATACTTGAGTAAGCATAAAATACCATCCTTTCTTACATTCTAATTCTAGTTTTTAGCAAAGTCGTTATTTATATAAGTACTTATTCCAAATACAACAGCAACATTTCATTCTTAGCTGTGGGTTCTGCTGGCAATGAGGGCCTTATCAGTGTAGCACGTAGTTACAAGCTATACTGGAAATGGCAACAACAGCAAGTATGATTTACTGGATGCCTATTTGATGAACATCACTATGCAGCGGGACACCTGGCTTTAACCCCATTATCAATGCAGTCTTCCCTCTTCTTCCATAATAACCATCCCTGCGATTAAGGTTTAACAGACTGAAGGGACATATTGTATCAATATAACAGGTCGTAGAAGAACTTCTAGATGTGTCTCCTTTGAGGGATTTTATGTTCATATACATGAAAGAGACTGAAAGAGAGAGATCACACAAAGAGATGACACAGATGTTAACTCTCTTTGCTTACCTTTCTTTATTCTTTCTTTGCCCACAACTTGCTCTTCTTGTGGCATCTGAGATAACTTCTGCAAAAATAACTTCTCCAGAGCTTGTGCCATAAGAACAACGTCATCACCAGGCTAGAAATACATTAAATATATTATAGGGATATATAAAATGATCACTTTATCAAATTTTTTAAAACTTAAGGCTAACTTATAAAAAGCAGTGATACAGTACTCCTAGATGTTAGTTATTTCTTCTAAAAACAGTGAACATTAAATTCTAACATCCTACCTCTTCAGTTTCTAAAAAGGATGAGAATGCCTCTCTGAGTACCAGATGTATAATTCAACCAATACCACTAATTTAAGGTAATATAAATAAGAATTTCTACTCCTCAATAAATTAAAAACAAAATGTATTTATTGCTGGGCAAACTATTTCGTTGTTTGGAAGCAATTACTACCTTATAAGTTTTCAATTTGTTAAACAAAGTGACACTGTAGTGTTGACTCAATTTAAATATCTTAACTATCAGATTAGAAGTCTTTCTTATGTTTTATTTTACTGATGAGAAAAAAAAGTGTTAAAGAGCAACAACCTAAACCAAGAACATTTACTTCTAAGTTAGGTAGCTAAGGAAAATTACTGAACCTTGTTTTAAAGTGTTAAATGTTTAAGAACACTTTAGAGTTGTTTTTAAAGTAAGATAAAGTTGAATGGCATTGATAACCATTGATACTGATTTTTTAAAAACTCCCAATCAGTTAACAGTTTTAAATCTTTTATATATAAGGTGGCATTGATAGTAAACTTGGGAACCAAAATCAAAAGTTCTGGTACACTTCAGTATCACTAGTAAGTGATTTTTGTATAAACTAAATGCCAAATGCTTAGATTTCTCCTATCTAAATGGAATACAAGTCTTGAAATACTTAGATACTATGAAACACATCAAAAAGGATATGATACTGTAGAAAACAGAAATACTGTATAAAAGGAAAACTAAATACATAAATCCAATTTCACAGATGAGAAAAAATGTGAAGACTAAGTTCAAAATGTCCACATATGAGGTACGGTTGAAACATGGTTAAATTTAAAAACCTTTATCACAGTAAAAGACATAAACATACATTTCCATCAAACCCTCCTCACTTAGAACACTTATGCTATCATTCTTGTCACTTTCTGAAGCAGTTCTGCAGTCCTCTTTTGTAAGTATCCTTAGCTGTGCTGTCAGGGCTGCCTCCATGTCCTGAACTGATTCAAAACATTTGCCTTCCACGGTCATTTTGATTGTGGGGAAGAGTAAGAAGCTGCTCGGAGCCAGACCCAGCGAGCAGGTGAGTAAAGTGGCCTGAGGACCCACGGTGAATGTTTTTATGAGCCTGCCTTCCTGTTGTACGGCACTTGGCAGTGGCACTCACTGTATTTTTGATCAGACCTTGTAAAAACACTCACAAAAGAAGCCTTGCAGAGCTGCTTCACACTGTGGCAGGAACAATGGCATAAGGGTAGTTGAAACTGAGGGAGAATATTTTGAGGAAGACTAATGGCAGTGTGTCTTAAAGAATGTGTTTGTCTGGGCATGGTAGTACACGCCTATAATCCCAGAACGCAGCAGGCTGAGCAGGACTGTGAGGTCAAAGTTAGCCTTAACTGCACAGAGTGGCTTTAAGGCTACCCTGGACTATGTAACAAAGACTCTATATCCAAAAAAATATCCAAGCTATCATTAGTGCTTCACTTCTCAAAAATAGTGTGCCAATACATCTACTCAGGCAAAAAGCCAGCAAAATAGACTGAACAAATGTTGATGTGCAGAAATTACAGAAACCAGTGAAAAACATTATCCTTAAATATGTGTAAAGTAGTCCAAATCAAAACTTGAATTTTGAAATAAGTACACTTACTTATACATATCTCTCCTATATGTAAAAGCAATGGATTAGCAGTATAAAATAAGGCTTACATACCTTGTTATATAAATAACAATTTGAGAACATTACATTGAAGTCATCTATACATTCTGAAGCCTTCATATAATATTTATTCTCCAGCCGCTTCTTAATTGTATTTAAATCCATTGGGTTTTTTATAATGGTATAATAATCCTATGGATTTGAAGAAATGTGTTAAAAAGAATGAATTCACAAGTATTACTGCACAAAAAAATTTCATAAAGTATAACACCTGTAACTCAACAGAGCTACTGATCACCATTAAAAGGTACAATGTGGAAATCAGTACAGAAATTCCTCAAAAAACCAGGACTAGAGGTCCCATTTGACCCAGCTATTCCCCTTCTTGGTATCTTCCTAAAAGAATTAAAAGCATCATTTACCACAGTGACGTATGCACACCCATGTTTATAGCAGCAGAGTTTTTAATAGCAAAATCATGGGAACAGCCCAAATGCCCATCAACCAATGATGAATAAAGAAGACATGTTTTTTTTTATAAAATAGAATAGGTGAATGGATGCACCGTGAGACTATATTCTTAAGTGAAATAAATTGAACACATATGTTTAAATACTGCATTGTTTCCTGGTGTGAGAAACTGAAAGTGTAAATAAAGCCCAAAATGTACAACAGATATTATAAAATAGGAAGAAAATGTTCCAGTGGGAAGGGAAAGTAGGTAGAGGGAGGGGAAAAGAAAGGAAGGAAAACAAAAAAATAAGAAAAGGAAAAAATGGAAACAAAGCTTTTGTGAATAAAGAGAGGAAGAGGGTTGGAAGGGAGGGTAGGGGAATGGAGAAGAAAAAGAATTGAGTTATATCATGTACAGATATAAATTCCCTACGATGAATGTGATTATTTTGTTTATCTAAAATGTATCAACAATAAGAAAAAGAAATTCCCTTTGACACATCTACAACTCTCCTAGTGATATTCCTGAAAGAATTAAAGACTTCTATTAAAGACTGGGTGTGTTGGCACATGCCCATAATTCTAGCACATGGGAGGCTGAGGCAGGAATACCACCATGAGTTCAAGGCAAGCATGGGCTACATGAGTTCAAGACCAGCCTGAACTACATAGGAAGACTCTGTCTCAAAAAAAGAAAAAAAGAAAAAAAAAAAAGAATTAAAGACAGTCTTACAGTGATATAGTGGGCCACTGAAAGGATTAAAGACATTTTCTTTTAAATAAAAGAATTAAAATCTGAGTGTGGTGAGGTATGCCTGTAATCTCAGCACGCAGGAGGCAAAGGCAGGAGGACTGCCACAAGTACAAGGCCATCCTGGCCTGCATAATGAGTTCAAAAGCAGCCTTGAACTACAAGACCTTGTCTCAAAAAACAAAAACACACATACAAAAAAATTACAGGAATCTTACTATAGTGATACATGTGTACTCATGTTTATATAACTGCACAACTCATAGAATCTAAGCTCTGGGAACAACCCTAGGTGCCATTAGCAAAAAGTGGTATATATACACAATGGAATATTCTTTAACCATGAACAACGAAATCATGTCACTTGGGATCAAAATCCTAAGTGAAATAAGTCAGACACAGAAAGTTAAATCATGGTTTCTATTATATAATAAACCTAAAATATAAATAAGTAAATGCATAAAAATAAAGGAGAGGTGGTAAGAAACATGATGATAGGACTTCCAGAGATGGGGAAGGGAATCATGAGGAGAGGACAGGAAGGGGGTTAAAGGGATTAAAAAATAATCAAGATATGCTATATGCATGTACCAATGCCTAAAAAGAACAGAACTGCTGTGTATTGCACGCGTACATGAGCATGAACATGAGCAAGGAGAAGGAAGAGAGGGCAGGGAAGAGGGGCAGCGGTGGCGGCGTAGCAGGCGCCACTGTAGTGTTAAAATGGTAGCATGGGTAGAGTTCTACCTGGGCCAAACAGAGGCTAGACACAAGGTCAGTGGCCCAAAAAGAGTTCTGATTTCTCTGCACATGCTTTAATTTGTTTTTTTTTGTTTGTTTGTTTTGGTTTTTTGGTTTTTTTCCGGTACCAAGAATCGAACTCATGACCTTGTGCTTGCCAGGCAGGCGCTGTGCCACTGAGCTAAATCCCCAGCCCCTTGCACATGCTTTAAAATGCAGAGTGATACTGCACTTGAGTTTAGATGTCAATTCTCTAAGCATTGAGCACATCCAGGTGACTGAACAAAACCTCTAGATGCTCACTATATTGAAGTAGCTCAGTCAGATGAAACCATGTATGGGCTCCCCTGCCACACTGAGATACTCACTTAAATGGAACGCACTGTTCCAAAACCAGAAGAGGAAGTTGCACAGAAAAAGGTATCACAGAAGAAAATGAATAAAAACATCATGAAAATAAATTTAGCATAAAACAAACACAATACATATATGTGATGTTAGAGACTGGTTATTTTTTACAGAGATTTACAGGATTCTTTTTCTTAAATTAACATAATTATAAGACATATTAAAAAAAAGTCATACTTACAGGTAACTTCAGTTTTACAGCATCCACAGGCTGTTGAAAAGGCCAGGAGAAGCCATGTTTCCATAACGCCTTCAGGACAACTTTGTGTAGATACTGCAACTGATTTGTCAGTCGCCCATTTTTCTTAGTATTGATAAATTCTGGTGGAGGTGGGTTAACAATAGTTGTTTGTCGACTGGGCAGGGACATTGCTAACTGCTTCAAATCCAGATACTCTAATGCTCTCTACACGTATATGTCCTGAAAAAGAAAAAAATGAGTACCTTAGAAACAGTTAAAAATTTGTTTTTGTTTTGCTGGTACTTGGGACTGAACCCAGACAGCACTGAGCTATATCCCCAGCTATTTTTATGTGTCTATTCTGGGACAGGGTCTCACTAAGATTCTCAGACTAGACTGGAACTAGTGACCCTCCTGCCTCACCCTCCCAGGTAGCTACAGATACACAGTGCACTACTCCATGGCTACCTAGACTAAAAATGATTTTCATAGAAACTGAAAAGATTTAATGAGAAAGATTTATAGAGTGATAAAGATTTAATGATAAAGATTAAGAGAAAATGACATCGTGTTTAAACCACACTTAAGACAAAAAAAATCAAACAACAAATTTTAAATAAATGCCAAGTTTTTCTATGTAGTATAAGTTGTTTCATTTATGTATACTTCAGTTTAAGATAGTTTAAATTATTTCAATATTTCACAGAATTTCTTTCTGCCTTTCAAAACATAAAACTGAGATTTTAGCAGGAAAAGTCTATAAATTCCTATTTAAAGAAACAGCAAGGAATGTTAAACATATCTTGGTATACAAGTATCCTACAATTGTTAATTTAATGAAGGAAGAAAAGTAAAGGGTATTCTGGCTAATTTTTCCTGGAGAGTTTAAATAAAGTGTTAAAAAAAAATCAGCTAGGGACAGCGGCACATCTTTGTAATCCCAGCTACTCCAGCCTAGGCAACTTATACCCTGTCTTAAAAAACAGGAAGGTCCAGTGCAGTGGTGCTGAACCTATGGCACACATGCCACAGCGGGCTGTCTGTATCACTGAAAGCTCCAAAAGGTTCACCATCACTGGTGTAGGATGTAGCTCAGTGGTCACGTGGAGGCCCTACATTCAATCTCCAGCATCAAAATACATGCATACACACACTCACATACATTTCACAGGGACTTTGAGTGTAGCTCAGTGGTCGTGTGTGTGCTTAGCATGATCAAGATCCTAGGTTCAAGCCTCACCCAAATGATAACAATAGTAAAAATAATAAAAATGAAAGTAAAATTAAAAACTCATTAGAGAGGGAGGAGGGGAGGAGGAAGGGAGGGAAGACGAGAGGGAGGAGGAAGGAGAATGAATCAGCTGTGAGTATTCTTATATACAATAAATTTGTTTAAGGTGATACCCTAGATAGATTTCAAGGAAAAAAAAATAGAGGTGGAGAAACCTTTAGGAGGGAACAGGCTTGGCATACTTATAGGAAGAATGGAGGCCAGCACAGTAGAGAAAAGGGGAGAGTAGTTTTTTGGTTGTTTTCTGAGATAGGATCTCATAAAAGGTGAGAGTAGTATAAAAAAAAGCAGACAGTGACTACATTACATAGACTTCTTCACACTAATAAGAATTTAAATTTTAGTCTCTAAATACAGGCCAAGAAAATGCTGAACAGGGAAGGACTGAAACAGGCTATTAAAGGGTTTCTGAGGGGCTGGGGATTTAGCTCAGTGGCAAAAGCGCCTGCCTGGCAAGCGCAAGGTCGTGAGTTCAGTTCCCGGTACCGGAGAAAAACCAAAAAAA